TGAGACGATTAGCGTATCCCTGTCGGTACAGTGACCTTATTCATCGTTTTGGCCGCCCGGTTCCAGAGCTTTGCATGATAACCAGTCATGTAATGGATACTGTCTACACCTTACACCATCATCGTCTGACAGCATGGAACCAAACCTTACTGAGTTCTCCTCTACTTCAGGCATATGCTGATACCATACGAAGGAAAGGAGGTGCTCTGCCAAATTGCTTTGGCTTCATAGATGGAACAGTAAGACCCATTTGCCGACCACAAGAAAACCAGGGGATCGTGTACAACGGACACAAAAGAGTCCACGCATTGAAATACCAGTCTGTGGCATTGCCCTGTGGTATGATAGCCAATATGCATGGGCCAGTAAGTAATAAAAATTATTTCTTTCAATTAATTTTTATGTCTTGTTATATTCATCTGTCACACCGTAAACTCAAACAGCGCGACTGCAGTGAAAGTCGTTCTATTGTGGAAGATATAAAGTATTATAAATAAAAGATATATTCATTTTTGACATTATAAATTTCAACTTTGATATAATTTTCTCATTTGATCCAGAGGGCCGCAAACATGATGCTGGGATGCTAGCCGACTCTGGCCTTATGCGAGATCTTGAGCGCTATGCCTTTTCCCCAACTGGTGACCCCATGGCGTTATATGGTGGCCCAGCGTATCCACTGAGGGTTCACCTAATTGTACCATATCGTGCTGCTGGTATTAGCCCACAGATGGAAGAATTTAACAAGTGTATGAGCACTGTCCGTGTTTCAGTAGATTGGCTCTTTGGAGACATAATTAATTTTTTTAAATTTGTTGATTTTAAGAAAACTCAAAAGATATCATTGAGTGTAGTTGGAAAGATGTACATTGTAAGTGCAATTTTAAGAAATGCCATAACTTGTTTGTACGGAAATTTCACTTCCGAGTTCTTTGAATTTGACCCACCTACCCTTCAGAATTATTTTTCTTAACACTATGCACCACTTGTAAAGAGAAATGAAATTTCAATGATTGATAATGATGTAAAAAATACACAAGTCGATTGAATGTAACATAGTTTATCTGCCGCTTTCCAATAAACTGTACAAAGTAGGGGAAGTTATTCTCTAATATTTGTACTTAGATCAAATCATGTATGCTGAAACAACTTCAATTTATGTAAAGGAGGGTTCAAAAGCTATGTAAAGAGGGATAGGAGCAGATGGGCATGAGTTGGGCTTTTGAAAGTATCCTGAAGAACAAGGAAAAAAAAAACAAGTTATAAAAACATTAGGGTATAGGCAGCAGAGTTTCATCCTCCCTTGGGGTGGGGGAGGAGGGGTAATTCCCCCAAAATACACAGTAAATATTTAAAAATCATCACAGGTCCTCCCTTCTCCACATATTAACCTCCTCAATCATACAAAAGTATGGTCAAAAGGCCTCTTAAACTGAACAAAAAATCAGGCTATGAAACCTGTCGTAGTACATTCAACGACTCTCAACATGTTCAAGTTGCTTAGTTTTGTTTTTCTAAAAGCTTAAAATGATTTGTGACTGCTGTTGTTGCATAGCAGCAAACATCTGCTGAAACTGCTGCATTTGATTCTGTTGCTGCCTGACTTGCTGGGCCATCATTTGCATCATTTCTTGATGTTGCTTTCGGGACTCGTCTTGCTGTTTACTTTCAAATTCCAGGCGCTGCTTTTGTAATTCCAGCTCTGCATTTTTCCATTTCTGAGCCATATCATTTTTCTCGCGTAAATATGCGATTGTGTCTCCACCACTCCTCCTTGTGATCTTTGGCTTTGGTTGTGCATTCTCTTCATCCTCGACTTCATCACCCCCCTTTCTTTTCTGTGTATAGCGAATGCTATCCATCGCTCTCTTCCGCATCTCCACAGCTTTAGCATGGTCTGCTTTCTTCTTGTTGCTTTCAAGTGTGTTTTCAGCATCACTTTCCTTTTCCATTATTTCTTCCAAAGCTTTTTCGACATCACTCATGCTGGTCTCAATGCCGCTTGCTTTCTCCTCTTCTTTTAACTTTTTCTTTAACTTTTCAATGAGAAGTGTGTACCGCTCTCTCACTGAACGCTTTGAAACTCTAAACCTTGGAATTTCCAAGAGTTAAGATTATTGGCAATCTGGTCCCGAATGTTTCCTCTCGCAATACTTCCCTTTTTCGCTTTAAAAAGTTCTAGGGATAAAATTTCTTGAGATAGACAGAGGTCGTGGTCTTCCGTCCACTCCATGTTAGACCTACAATTCGAAAAAAAATAACGAAGATTTCATCTCGACCTTGGAAACCGGTTAGATCGATTCACCGTTAAATCAGTTCGGATCTTTCTAAAGCAAATCAATGTTGTCTCAGTCATGTTTGTGTACATGTGTACATGTGTACATGTGCAATATGCCGCCTAATTCAAGCATAAACTTATCGTGATGTTGTATTTTGAGCAGTTTCGAGAAGCAAGCGTTTCGTGTGTCAACGACGATGCATTTTTTTGCCTTACTGAAAGCTCTTGATTAAAATTACTTTGTAAGAGAAGCCGAGTAAAAAAAAAAACGCTATTTCGAGAAAAGATGAGTGACATAATCCATTGGACATCAATTTAATGCCGAAACAAGTCTACGATATCATAATTGTTAATAAACACATCAAATAAACACAAGAAAAAACTTGTAAAACTTACTGGGTTGCTTTCTTTGTTGAGTTGACCGAGTCCATGGCGATTAACGAGTCAAACTGTTTAGAGAAGGCAAACAAATTTAATTTAAATACCGTGTTCAAATCGTTTGAGTCGCTTAGAAATTCGACAAGAATGGTCTACTGAGAATAAACTGTTAACGTTGCTAAAGAATTTCGCTCAAAATGTGTTTAAATGGCATTATTTTGATCAACTTTACTCACGTTTTACACGCGACGGCAAAATGGCCTTCTTCACGTCACAGACAAGGCCGCTACGGCGGGAAACTTCGCAACGACGGCAGCCGGAAGTCTTTCTAGAAGTAATTTCACTTCCGCTCGCGTCACAGACGTCTGCCGTCGTCGGAATTTAAGCACGCTAATATAAAGAACGATAAACGTGCCATTACATACACGTTTAATTCATCATAGTGCACCATCCGGTACAGCACTTTCTCAGTCGTACTATAGTACGTACTATAGCGGGTGATACCCGTTAATTTGGGTATCATTTTCACGGGTGATACCCAGTACCCTCTGAGTGAATCGGGTGGCAACCTACCATTCAGCCACCCCAAAGCGAAAGACAACGGTCAGCAGGTAGTTCCAAGGACAAGGTAACGTGTTATGTATGGCTCACATAGTGTACCGCAAACGTATCGGAAAAATGGAGGCCCTCGCGGCGCGGGGGGCAACTAATTCATGGTAGTCTCGATATAGACTCCCTAATATGTTATTTCGTAAGAAGTATACTAAGTCATATACCCTTTTAGTATATACTAAAACAGTGGATAGTGTTTTTCGCGCGCTCTGATTGGCTACTCAATCAGTGAATATCCTGCACTATTCACTGATTCACCTCCAGTTCCTCGAAGCGAGCGACTCCAAACTCGTGTAAGTTGCAAGCAAAATGCCTTTCCGGTTTGCTGCCGTAAACAAACAAAGAAATTTCACAACTAATCAAGCAAGCTGTTTCCGAAATACACGAAGAAGGTGACGAAGTTCGGATTGGAAGTTTTAACAGGTAAAGCTTTGTCTTTTTGACACGAATTTATCGATAAAACCGGTGAAAAAGTTTTTTGTTTACAAATGCAAATTAAGCTTAAGTCTTGCTTACTTTATTTAGTTGAGTTGTTCATAAATAAGCTTAAAACTAAATTTAATAATCTTTTTTTTATAGAATGATTTTAAATACAAAAAGAATTCACAACTCCTTTTGAAGAAATTTCCCCGCAAGAGCTAAACAAATGCCTTCAAAAGTTTTAGTTGCCGGCAAGAAAAAGCGACGGCCGCGGCCGCCCGGTCATTAGGCGCCAAAATTGTAATCGTTGGCAACAGTATTTGAGTTAAAAATCGTCGTTTTTGTGCTCAATTATCTCACTGTTTTAGTATATACTAAAACAATTATTCACCTCAGTGTCGGTGGCTAGTCGTGGATATTTACCTCACTGCTTCGCAGTTCGGTAAATATCCAGGACTAGCCACCTCCACTTCGGTGAATAATTGTTATATATATCCTATATACCATGTATACCCCTGTATAGTTTACCCTGTATACCCTTGTAGATCCAGTTTACCCATGTTTACCCTAGTCATTATGTATACCTTGTATACCCTTATATATCCTGTGTACCCATGTTTACCCTAGTCATACTGTATACCCTGTATACTCTTGTATATCCTGTGTACCCGTGTTTACCCTAGTAATACTGTATACCCTTGTATATCCTTGTATATCCTGTGTACCCGTGTTTACCCTAGTAATACTGTATACCCTGTATACCCTTGTATATCCTTTGTACCCATGTTTACCCTAGTAATACTGTATACCCCGTATACCCTTGTATATCCTGTGTACCCGTGTTTACCCTAGTAATACTGTATACCCTGTATACCCTTGTATATCCTGTTTACCCGTGTTTACCCTAGTAATACTGTATACCCTGTATACCCTTGTATATCCTGTTTACCCGTGTTTACCCTAGCAATACTGTATACCCTTGTATATCCTTTGTACCCATGTTTACCCTAGTAATACTGTATACCCTGTATACCCTTGTATATCCTGTGTATCCGTGTTTACCCTAGTAATACTGTATACCCTGTATACCCTTGTATATCCTGTGTACCCGTGTTTACCCTAGTAATACTGCATACCCGGTATACCCTTGTATATCCTGTTTACCCATGTTTACCCTAGTAATACTGTATACCCTGTATACCCTTGTATATCCTGTTTACACATGTTTACCATAGTAATACTGTATACCCTGTATACCCTTGTATATCCTGTGTACCCATGTTTACCCTAGTCATACCGTATACCCTAATTTCTTGTGAGGATCATAAAGGACTACATAAGTTCATGACAAGAGCGTAACCTCCATGCACAGATGAAGCTGCAACTTATATCAAGTCGTCTTTTCTAAAGACTCTCAAGGCGAGAGAGGGACAGCTAGAGCTTTATAATAAATATAGTCTGGGTAAACAACCTTAGGCGCTTGTTTTGGTATAGGTCGATTTTTACTTGACAGGTAAGGTCTCAGGAAAATCTTGCCATGCCGGGACAACATATGCAAGTATAGATGATCTCACATCAGCACTTATAAATATTGATAATACTGCTGCCAGCACCCTTAAGGAATGCAATCATTTGGTGGCTTTACCATAGATATAATCAATGTGGTAGTTTCATGTAAGATCAAGCCTAATTTTTACACCAAGTTTATTAAATGTCGATACAAGCCGCTCTAACTGATCGTTTCCAAAGCAAATAGGCTGTATGCATGATAGCGGAGCTCCACCCGCGCGCAAAGCGCGCGCGCGTGGGCGGAGCCCCATAGGTAAGGAAATGTGGTAATCTACCCATCCGAGAAAATTTGGTAATCACGTGACCGTACGCCCGACCGTCCGTCCGCACCACAGGGAAACCAATGTCTACTCTCACACTTTCTAGCTAGTTTGGGAGCCCAAGGGAAAACTAATTGCACATTAATGTTGTGATCAATTGACAGCTGTCAAAACAGGGTATCCGCTGACCAGTATCACCTGACCGTACCGCGGGCTCAAGTGTTCACCCATTGAGGTCGAGTATCTTTTTGAAAATATCCGCTGACAAATTACCAGTTTCAAATGATCGTAGGCTCAAGTTCATTTTTTCCAATGATTCATATGAAATATGTTGTGTTTATGTCACTATGACCCCGCACTGTTAAGATTTTGATTTCAAACTGACCTCGGACGGGAAAATTCAGCCATTTTTTTAAATACAGGCGGGGAAGGACTTTTCTTACCATGGTCACGCGTTGGTCACGCTCTACGTCCAATTTTTATACTCTGATTGGTCAAAAATTGACAGGTGAGTTCATGCGGAAAATTTATGCAGCATCATGAAAGTTGTTTACTTTGAGAGCAGAAGCTGACTGAGTTTTGTGTCAACTTGTGATGTATTTAACTGTCTTTTCCACTGGATGTACAAAATGAAATACAGCTGCCATCAAGAGTCTTCTGTTATTCATGGCTGGTTTGTTTATTGGGTTTTTGGTTGAGAAACCTCATCCACAGTAAACATTGAAATACCATTAAACCGATATTCATTTTTCGAAATGTTAGAAGATGGGCTGTTGCCCAATACAAGGGTTGAAATGAATTTTGAAATTGAGTCAGATGGTAATCTAATTTGGCAAGCTGGGGCTGATTGTAAAGTGGTTATCACCAGAATGCAATTGTATGTTCCGTGGATAACTTTCAACAGTGAAGGCCAATCATCATATATGAGCCAATATCTTAAATTGCACAAGTGGACTTATTTGAGAGAAAATATTGAAAGATCAAATAGTAGCCCGCAGAGATCTGGGCATTTCAGAAGTTCAACTGGTATTTCGAAACCCAGACATGTTTTTGTATTTATAATCAATGATGCAAATATTGATGCTCAGACGGCTAATCCATTCTTGTATAATACATTCTCTGTCTCAACTGACCCAAGGACCTTATCCAATTGTCATCTGGAGGTTGGAAATGGTAACGAATACCCCGAGATTCATTATACACCAACTACCGATATGACACGTGTTTAAAGGGATGTTCTGAAATATGTCCATAAAAATAATGAATACGGTTAAGGGACATTACTCAATAGAGCTAATTTTAGTACCCTATTTCCCTTTTTATATTTTGATTTAACAAAACAAAAAATGGACATTAAGGATGGCACCACAAAACTGACATTTAAATACGAGCTATCTGGAACAACGGCAACAGCCTATTTTGTTTACGCGTTGAATCTCTATGAGCAAGATGTTGAACTAATCCAGAAGGATGGTAAAATACTGCTCAGATCATAAATTGAATACCATTAAAATTATGTAACATATAACATAGGGCCAAGTCGCACTAGAGGACAAAACTGTTTATTTATGTCAAAAATCTGTCATCACAATGAAAAACCAAGTGCGACCGGTTTGTTCACCAAAGGACAAAATTTGGTCGCAGACGGACAAACTTCAAAGATGCCGTCGACTACCTCTGGAGCAGGCCAAATTGAGACAAATTTTGGAAAACAATAGCGAGGGTGTTTTAATTCGGAAATGATTTGACAGGTGATATGTAGCAGAGTCTCTATGCTATAGACTTCGTTGTAAAATTAATCACGTTCTCATTTCGCAACAACATGAATCCCGGCGCGGGCGACCAATTTTTTCCCTACGAATATCCACAATATCCACCAGGATGATCTATCCTTTGCCAGGCCCTTACATGGTTAATGATCGAGGAAATCCCAGCCCATCTCCTTCGACCACGAGTACTGACTCGTTGCCAGACTCCCTCCAGTTCAGCGAAGATACTGGCTCAATGCCGGCATCAACCTCATCCTCTTCGCGCCGTGCATCTTCGTCAGCCGAGAACAAGAAGGCTCAGGACAGATGGAGTAAAGAAGAGGAGAAGCTTTTAGTTCAACTGTGGGCTGAAAAGCATGATCAGTTAGAAAGCCGAGAGTCAAGGAAAACGTGGGCTTGGATCACCGAGAAGATTTCGAAAACACTCGGAACCAACAAGACGGCCGACAAATGCATTCGGAAAATAAAGTACATCATTGAAAGATATAAGAACGCTTAAGACTGGAACAAAAATCAAACAGGCGGAAGCCTTAGGAAATCCGTGTACTACGACGAGGTCGATAAAATCCCTGGTTGCCGCGACGTAGTAACCTTCAATCATGTAGCTGAGGCGGGAATCAGCAGCGAAAGTGCCACGGAAATTAATGCGGGACCTAGTGATACTACTGGCGAGATTAGTACTTCATCCAGCCCCAGCGCTAGCGTGCCAGAAACTCCAGCTGAAAGGAGACGAGCATCGAAGAAAGGGAAACGAACTTCGAAACGCAAAGCGCCTGATAATGAGAGCGACGATGAGGCTCTAAAGGATGTGAGGCAGCAGGGTGAGAAAGTAGCAAGCTTCTTGGATTCTTTGCAACAAACACACACGCCGCAGCTTGCCATGATGAGCCAGTTTATGGGATCAATTGTAAAAATCCGTGCCAAGGAACAGAATGAGAAATGAACTTTAATTCAAGACTACTTTTGACTCTTTAGAGACAACCATCATCATGTTCATTATTTATGTTACGAATAGATGAAACGAAATTATGGAAACAAATGAAAGTAGTTTTTAACTGATTTTTTTATTGTGAAGACAGAAAATAATCTTTATGATACACTTTTGAACAATAACAATGTCTATTTAACTGCTGAAAATATTTATACAGTAATGGAAATCGTTTCTAATAATTCAACATGCATGTCAAGCACAAATTACAATGCAATATTTTTCATAGTATTTGATCGTTGATTTTCTTCTATTTTCTTTGTGAAAAATCAAATACAGCAAACGTTCAAGGTCTAAGGATGAAGCAATTAAAATCCGTTTGAAAACAAAAAATCAGAGACTGTCTTTTAGCAACTCTCTTATATCTTCGCCGTCCTGCATGAAATCATTGTTCTGTTCGTTTCCGCGGTCATCATCGTAATCGTAGAAATCATCCTCCCATTCGTCCCCAACATTAATGCAAAAGTTATGCAGCACTGCACAAGCAATGGAACTCTTCATCGAGAAAGTTATTCTGTTATCCAACCGCTTTTGTAAAATTCGCCAACGACTTTTGAGGCGGCCAAAAGCGCACCCGATGGCTACTCGTGCAGATGACAGTTCCTTGTTAAAAGTTATCTCGCCAGGGTCACGCGTGGCTTCAGGATAAGGCTTCATAAGCCAGGGGGAAATAGGGTATGCGCTGTCTCCTACCAGGTAAGGGCGAATATCTGTAATACCGATTCTTTCAACCGGTTCTCTGAGTATATCTTCGTTGCTTGCTCTTTGATAAAGAGAGATGTTTCGATATACCCTAGCGTCGTGAAGACCTCCTGGATAACCTGCAGCAAAGTCAAGGAATAATCCCTTACCGTCAGAAACGGCATGAATTATAAAATCATGTTGCTGATTTCGACTAAAATAATCAACAGTACTGTCTCTGGGAGAAATTATTTTGATATGGGTCTCATCTATGGCTCCAACAATGTTTGCAAGTCGTGATTTGTCCGTAAATGTCTCTATACACCTCATTGTCTCAGCCACCGTTGTTGGGAATTTGATGTACTCGTTCCTCAATTCATAAAGAGCGTCGACGACATCTTGACAAGCCTCTATTGCTGTAGTTCTACTGACGTTTAGCGCAGGTCCTATTGTTTCGTACGAATTTCCATGTGCAAGTCGAAGCAAACCACAAGCAAGAACCTTTTCCGGAGTGAGACAATTTCGCAGTATTGTATTCTGTCTTGTCAGCCAGTTGCGAATTACGTTGAGCAACAAATCGAAGCTTTCTCTGTTCATTCGTAAAAGCCTTCGAAAGTAGTCCCCTGGTATTGTCCGATCAGTGTAATGGATCTCGAACCACGATTCGACTGGACGAGGAGGAGTCCAATAATATGGAGCTCTTCTTCGATAACGATTTTGTCGACGGCGAATTCTCGTGTCAATAGCAAGTTTTGTGTTTGTAAATTCTGCATAAATAACAGGCACCATATCATTAAATTGATATTTGCCTGCTGCTGAAGAACCAGAAAAAAGTAGAAAACAATCACTGCCAGAATTCTTCGTGGTAACATTTTTTTAGATCCCTCGTGTCGCGGTTTTGTGGGTGTAAACAGCGAGTAAAGGCAGCTTCGCGGGAAATCGCGGGAAATCACAAGGCGCTCACAGCATGGTGTTGTGTTTTGTTCACAGATTTTGTTCTGAAGTGCGACTGTAGCCTTCCGAACAAATTTTTTGTCACTGGCCGATTTCAAGTCGGATTTGTCCAGAACAAATCTGAAATTGCCCTCTAGTGCGACTTGGCCCATATAGAAGATATGACAAAGTATTATTCTTATGGAGTGTCACTCAGCAAAGGACAATTGGAAAAGCTTTGTGAGCTTACAACAATAATTCAGCAATAACAATCAGCATTGTTAATGATGAATTATCTGGTCCACATGAATTAATGCTCACAAAAACTCAGATCAATAAATTGGAAAAAGCAATGAGCCAAGGTGTGGGTTCAGATATTAAGATATCAAAAACACAAATTAGAAAAGCTATTAAACATGGTGGTAGTTTGTGGGGATCATTAGTAAGTTTAGGAAGTAGGTTGTTACCTATGGCTATGCCTCTAGCTAAAAAGGCTATTGCACCGATTGCAACAGGCGCTTTATCCGGCTTAGCCAGTCTTGATGTGGATAAAATATTTGGAAAGCGTGTACAACAAGGAGGTTTTCTTATTCCACAGGATAAAATAGCACAATTTATTGCGCATAAACACCTTCTATCCACAGGTCAGAAAAAGGATATTCTTAATGCTCTCCAGTCAGGTGGTCAATTGATTATCAAACCGACTAGAACTCAGTAGGGTGGGTTTTTAGGAACTCTACTAAGTATAGAAGCCCCTCTGTTGCTAAACGCATTGACAGGAAAAGGTCTCCAAGCTGACAGAACCGGTACCGCTAATACAATTTCAGTATATGTTCCTGGTGAAACAACTAAGGGACTGGTCAAAAAGTATAGGGGGGGTGGGCCGGAGCAGAGAGGGGGTGGGTCATAAGGTTTTGAGCCTTGTGCAAAGGGTGGGTCGTGCAATTTGCAGCTACCCTTAGGGGGTGGGTCACCCTATTTTATTACATAGATAAGCACTAAGTACTAACGAGACCGTTGACCACACTTGTTATATAAAACACAGCCAGCTGGAATTATTGCTAAAATACTCACAAACCTGTTGTGCGAGAAAATGCAACGGGTGACAGACCGCAGATCCCTGGAACCCTTTGTTAACCTTTGGTTTTTTGGCTCTAATGAGCATGTCCTTTAATGATTTTCCTTTTTTGTAACGAAATGATTGGTGGTTCTTTAAAAATTTATTAAAGTTATGGTTGGCTTTGTATAAGATTCCATTTTTATTATTCAAGCTTCCTTTATAGTAGACTCTGAGGGTTGGTATTGTGTCACAAATGGCAATAAATCTTTTTCCTCCTTGAAGGTTTTGTTTTAGGACTTAAGACTCGTTTTTGTGAATTTTATTTCTGATAGTAGGTCTTCTATCAAAGTTTGTGGGTAGCCTCCGTCCATTATTTATTTTTCTCAAAGGTTTTTTCTGAGGAGTTTTTTCGTAGGATTCTCAAGGCTTCTCCTTCGACAAATCCTTTTTTTTAACACTTGGAGGGTGACACGAGGCGAAATGTGTGTGCAAGAAGGTTTCCGTTTGTTTAAAATGTGTCTTTGCATCAAGGATAGATTTTTCTTGAATCTTGTGCCTTTGTATACAACCGTGTCTAAAAACGCTGCATCTCAGTGTCAAATGTTTCAGCCATGAATTTAATAGTTGGGTGATGTAAGTTTGCTTGTTCAATGAAGGCTTTGATGTCTGGTTTACTCATGTCCCATAGGGAAAAGACATCGCGTATGTAGCATTTCCAAACTGTTGTTCTAAAGACAGTTTTGCTAAGAGTTGTTGTTTCAATATATGTCATGAAAATATTGGCAAAGGAATCAAAACTGCTGTCTTTGTGCCCATTACAGTTCTAACCCTCGTTTTGCTGTATATTTGTGTCAAGACTCATAACGTCCATCGAAACAAGAAATGTTCGGTTTTTCACATTTGTCTTTTCAGTGAAAGGTATGATTTCTGTGATTTTGATATTGGTTGTAGCAGTGTATCGACAAATTTTGTCAAGCACAGAACAAGGTTAGGCCATCCTCTTTTTTTTCTCCGTTTACCGTCGTCCGACCGACCCAAATTTTTGGCATTTTTTAAAAAAAAGTAACGACATAGTTACACCATTTTTCACTTGAAATAATTCTTTTAATCTGAAAAATGAGCATAGTAACAGCACAGAGAAAAACAAGAACAAAAACATGAACATTTTTCACAGTATATTGTACATTTTGTTAATCCAAATATGTGAATGTTAACTTTTAACGTCTTCCTGGGGTACCAGGGCCTACTATTCCGAGACTTCTTGTGATTTTTTTTTTTTAATTTTTTTTTTTTCAATCCGACCGACCGACCCAATATCAGGAAACGCATTCGACGGTAAACGAAGAGAAAAAAGGGGATGGCCTTAGAGGAAACCAAACATCCATGTTTTAACTAGGGGGTGGGTCATGCAATTTCCATCCTTGCTTTAGGGGTGGGTCAGTCATTTTTGTGCCGAAGGGAGGGGGTGGGTCATGTGTTTTTTATCAACCACATTTCCAAATGCTCCGGCCCACCACCCCCTATACTTTTTGACCAGTCCCTAATGGCCATGGAATGATCAATCCATATGCATATATGTCACCATCTTTTTTTGGAACATGGGAAAACCCAGTCGGTATGGGATAAAAAAAAAAAGAAGAGGAAAGAGATTGCTGCTCGGCAAAAACAGTTCATTCAATTCAATCCCAATTCTAGGAACAATACTATAAAATTCATCAACAAACCATTGTCAAATATTGATTTGTTACACTAGGTCAAACTACTTGGAATAAAATATTTCAGAGGTATTAATAGCCGCGATAATTTACCAGAGAAAATACACAGATTGGAAACAGGAATAATTAATTTAGACGATTCAATAGGCAGGGGCACTCATTGGTGTTGTTATAGAAATGTGGATAAACAGTTTTGTGAATACTTTGATCCGTTTGGATTAATCATGCCTTACGAGATTAAAAATTATCTAAAAACAAGTGGTAAAAAAATTGTGTATTCGTCAGATGAAATACAAGAAAGAGATAGTGTTTTGTGCAGTTATTGGTGCTTGTATTATTTTTTGGAGAGACAAAAAGGTAGATCATTATTAGATGTTATACACAATACCAAATTCATTTTCCCAGATCAAATGATAAATCACAAATTTTTAATAAATTATTTTAAATTAATGTAATCCATATATATAGAATGTCAGAAAAGTTCTGTGTATATTGCCAAGAAGTTACTCCGCATTATGTAAATAAATACGGATGTTTTGAGTGCTGCAACTGTGAGCCTATGAGTGAGAGTGATTATGAGTCGGATAGCAGCTATGATCCAACTTATGTTCCAGACAGTAGTGATAGTGATTAAACGATATTTATTACCCCAATTCAGTAATTAGAAGAAAAAAGCTACCCCGCCAAAATGGCGGATAAGGTCCCAGACCATTTTTATATAACATATTGTATATATAAGAATGGTAAAATCTTGTTGTTAGGGGGTGTTAACATGAGAAAACTCGCAAGGGCGCGAGTTTCATACCGGGATGACTTTTTGATTTCGTATCGCGTTTACATGATGACTGGGTCATTTCATATCTCGTTATTTGAAGGTACTCTTCATGTTGCTAATATACACGTGTGATTCAAAATCGCAGACATTACGCAAGCGCTACCCGTTCCAGTCTACCGGCAGACCGATTTCACACCGAAACGGGTGGTCGTTTCGCGTTTACATGATACCGCTGCGAGATTTCGTACTGGAGTGAAATTCTCACCCCGGTACAAGAACCGGGGTGAACTCACGCTGGGGTGACTCGCACCGGCATGTCATTTTGTGGTGGTATCATGTAAACAAATATAAAGCCATGAGAGGGAACCGGAGTGAACTCGCTCGGGGCGAAAGTCGCCCCAGTGTCATGTAAACACCCCCTAACGGCAGCATATCCCTTCTCAATGAGAACTTCTAGTTATCAAGAGTAAGAAAATTTTAAAGTTGTTTAAAGAGCTGGGACTAAAAATGTCTTACTTTTGATAATGATTTTTTAAACATCGAAACGTTAAGTAAGGAACGTTTTTAAGTTTAACTTTTCTTGTTCAATGTCAATATAACAATATTCATAACAAATTATCATCTTTGTCTGATACAATTGTGCTGATTGTTTTCCTACATCTTTGTTAACCCTATTCCGAGGAGCCCCCCTCGCTAAAAAGTTGAGTAATTTCAAAACTGTTTACACTATGAGCACCAAACTTAGCGAATTTCCCTGAAAGTTATCCGGAAATATTTTAAAGTCGTTGTGACGTGTACGTCAACATTGACGTTGTCATTGCAACCGAGTTTGACAGCCAGGTTTTTAAAAATTTGCTTTCTTTATGAAAAAAGAATGTATTTGTTTTTACTCATTAAATTATAGCATTACAGTTTTAAATTTAGCAATATTTTATCAAATCTATTATAACTACTAGTGTAATCCAAGCTTTTTGAGAAAAAAACCCACGAATTCTGGGTTCATTTTTCAACAGTGTTTTTTATCTGTCGTAAGGGACTTGTCAGACATTAGCAGGGGGGATGGGACTGGAAACAGAGGAAGGGTCACAACTTTTTGAGACTGCAGAAAAGGAAGGGGTCATGAAAAATGGGCCGTTAAAAGGGGGAGGGTCCTGCAAATATATGCCCGTGATCATGTAGAGGTTCACCCATGAAGTTCTTTATTTTGAAAAAAAACCTGGGAGAAATAAGAGAGTCGAGTGATCAGCTGCCAGAATCAGAGTCGGACTCTTAATGCTGTCATCTAAAATGTATGTATATGGCATTACAAAGAGCAGATGAGAAATATATTTTGAGCTTTCATAATACTGATTCACCCTAGTGTATTGCAAGAACTAGATTTTATCATTCATACAAGAGGGGGAGGGTCATGAAATTTTAGGTCAAGGTCAAGGGGAGGGTTAGCAAATTTCACTCCCATTGCAGGGATGGGTCACCTCATTTCCGAACCCAAATTTAAAATTCCCACCCCCCTCCCCCCCTGCTAATTTCTGACAAGTCCCTAATTTTATAATTGACCGATTTTTTTGCTTCCTGAGCATCATTTTACACACAGATAAATGTTTCTATCAATATTACCTTGATTTATGCGGGTTTGAAGGAAAACTAAACACATTTAATTAATTCAAGATGGCGGTCCTTCTTTAACAATAAATGACGTCATCATAACATCACTGCTTTTAAGTAAGTAAGTAAGAAAGTAGGTGACGTTATTTTTCGTCGATGACGTGGGGAGTGGTCGCCCAGTCCTACGTGCCAGGGACTATTTAAAATGCTAGACCAAAGGAAGACAATAAAATTAAAACTAGCTAGAAGTAAGTTACAATAAAAAACAATTGAATAATGGATAACTTTCATAATAAGATATAAAAATCCTATAAAATATCTACCATTTCAATTCAGTTTAGAATGGATCTGATTAAAAACTACGGAGTAAAAATATCAAATATATATATATAACAAGAGGCTATAAAGGGGACAGAGAGGGCATCCCCCATATACACCTTATTCCATAGGTAATTCGTCTCGAGTTATTTTTAGAATCGGGATAAAGTTACCTCGCGCGAGGCGTGAATGTTTCGTGGAGGTTCCTCATGACCAAACGCCGTGCAAAACATGTCGGGCGAGAG